CTGACACGAGTGTAAAGAATGTGTAGATTCAGACCAACTGCTACAGTTGCAACAAACGAACCTCTTTCCTTTGACTATAGCACAGCCAACCCTGCATGCTGCGCACAGCACAAAACCTACTGGGAGGGGTTTGAAAAATACACCCAACATACTCACCCAACATTAAGATCGAGACTAGAGGGTTCTTTGAGAATCGTCTTCATGTTAAAGAAATGGACACCTCGGTTGTGGCAAGAGATCCCGCGCTATTGAGCGCTCTTACCATATTGAAAATTATTTGAAATGGATAAGTCGTGTATTTGGAAATAAAGTCTTTGTTCCAGTGAGCTTACGATGGTGTTGTCGGGTTTGAGCTGTGAGAGAGACAGAAACATCCCTCCAACGTAGGGTAGAGTATGTTTGTGCTTGTTTAGGTAAAAGGAAAGACAGTGGGAGAGAGAACAAAGGAATACAAAAAAAAGGAAGAGGACGGAGGGAGAGAAAGTGAGAGAGCGGAAGAGGCCGAAGGAAGGAGGCAGGGGTGAAAGCAGAGAGAGAGGAAGGGAGGAGGAAGAGAGAGACAGATGAAAACTAGAGAGAGAGAAGAGGGAAAGAAGTCCCCCATGGGGCTTAGAGCTATGGTTTGTGCTGATTAACCAAGTGTGTAGTGTTGTGTCACAAAGCAGTGAGAAATATCGGGAAGTTAAATATTAGAATACCTCAGGAAGTGACTGGTCCTCACTGTGCTTTCTAAATGCCAAACTATAATTAAAGTACCAGCGATTCAGTATATGCAACTTCCTAAAGTTTGGAACCACAAAACCAGCTTTAGTCTAGTTTAAGCATCAGAAAATGATGACTTACCTCTGTACATCTCTTAGGCTTCACATTGATAGCAGTATAATTAACCCACCTCAAATAAACGAATTAAATGATTATTTTTCCTATTCTTCCTAACCACACTGTAAAATACATTCTTGTTGGCTTGACACTACACAAACACATGCACACCACACCATACACAGTTGGGGCAACTTCACTTTTTCAGCGATCTTTTCAGAACGAATGAGTTTTCTTAGCGCATTATACTCAATATACATGTCAAAGCAGTCCAGCCCTTTTGACCGCTCCAGTTGTCAGCCACTTGAATGGTTCCATGGAATGTGAGTGGGAAGAATGGGTTTTCTCTAGCAAACACACACACCAACAACACACACACACAACACAACACACAACACACACACACACACAACAAGCCTATAATAGCACTGTTCCTACATGTAGTTTTGGTGAAGGATAGCTGATCAGTAATGCTGTCCACCCGAGCACAAAAGTACAACATATGTAACTAACCAGACTGTAGAGGAACAGAGAGAAAGACTCGAATAAGGAGAAAAGACAGTATTACACAGAGGACGGCGGGACAGAAGTTGGAGACTAGCAAAGAGATACAGTAAAGTGTTTCTCTCTCTGTCTGCTTATAAATGTCTTTTCTTGTGTTCTAATTAGCATATGTATGGATATATTATGTAAACTTTTCACTGACACAATATTCTGTAGTGGTACCTCATTGGCAATGTACGTCGTGTGTGTGTGTGTGTGTGTGTGTCAGAGTGAAGGACAGGCAGAAATGGAGAAGACATTTGTATCGTGTCTGATTTATTTGTTTGTTCCTAGCTCTTCACGGTCGTAACGTGTGTGTGCACGGACCTGGGTGTGTGTGTGTAGGTGTGTTGTGTGTGTGATTATTGGACTTCAATGTCAAAAAGTGCACAACTTTCTCCAATAATTTTCTGGTGTGAGTTGAGAGCCCTTTTGAGAGTGTGTGTGTGTCCGTGTGTGTGCGCGCGTGTCCGTGCTGCATATTGTTAATAAGTAGCTGAGTTGAGAGTAGAACATTTCACATTTGTAAGTTGTGGTGGCAGCACAGCCAGCAGACACCATCGAGTCTGAAGGGACAGGAAGGCCATTTCCTTATTTATCACAGTCAGGCCAGTGACTGCGAGTATGCCACAATTCTTTGCAATTACGGAGACAATGTCCTCTGCTTGGGGACAGAATCAAGGCCAGAATGAATAGGGTCAGTGAGCCTGACACAGTACATCTTACATCCGATATAAAAGCGTAATATATAGGAGAAGAATATCAGCTAGGTTGTTATCTGACAAGGCGACTCTCTCTCGGCTGCTGGTTCACCAACAGTTTCAATAAACTTTATTGTGAGGCATGTCATAGCACTCCACTGGTTTTATGACATTTTTTCTACACTTTATTTCTGCGGCTAAAACATTTACAAGCATGCTAATTCAGGATTAGGCTTATTTTTTCTAAACAAAATACACCATACAAACCCATTTATGTGGTCCCAAAGTTGCCGTATGTCTTGTGTCCACCTAGGCCTGGGCAATGACACAATATCTGCAACAGACACTTTGTGTGTTGTTCAATTGAATAGCGATAGTTTCA